GTGGTAAAGTGGCTTAACCTATCAAAGTGGAAATAGACAAAAGAAAAAGGCCTATATGCAAGATGTAAGTGATATACACGTGATACAGCACGTGACGGGCACTTCGCGGTCTGCGGTTACTATCCCTGTTACGTGACACACTGCAAGTAAGCAAGGAGAGCAAAGCAGAATGAGTGCCGATACCATCATCAGATATGGCCGGAACCGTTCTTTACATGTGAGGTCGTCGACTGCTGGTTATGTTGGGCTCATTCTAAGACGAGAGCCCGAGATACCGCGCCACACTATCACATGCTATGGCAGGCAATCGCAGGCGTCAAAAATGGTGTTGGCGAGGATGTAGGCATGGTCTTCGCTGGAGACCCCAACCACCATGGTCAACAATAAGAAAGGAACAATATCTCAGTAATTTCGCGGTAGAAGGCATAGCAAAAGACCGACGCGGCAAAGACGGTTGATCTATTCATCGCGTCCAATAAATCGATGCGAATAAAATATCGACGGAGCACATGACAGACCACGGATCGGACGATTGAGCGATTAAGGCAATGTTTATGATGTCCCCTGTCGTCACCATCCAAAGTCGGGCGAATTGGATAATCGACAATGCGAGCTTCGCCAACCAATGGCGGTGTGAGAGGCATCGCTATGTCCTCGCCCACCGCCGACATGATCGGAATGAAGACTTGCCGCTCTCCATCAGCAGGGGTCAGTCGTATCCAGTCTCCGGCATGATCGACTTTTATTAACATGAAATCAATCCTTGCCTTGAAATTCAAACGGTAATCGTATCGCTTTCAAACCAGAGCTTGTCCTTGGAGAAGCTTGGAATCATGCCGACATATGAATTTAGGTGGATGATGGCGATGACGGACTGCGTCCGGTAATCACAACTCGGCGGCGTGAGGATGGATTAGGCGATGGGCGCGAAGAGGTTATTCGGACTGCGCCAGCCAACCATGCCAACTAACCAAGTTAGTTAAATCTGTAGCTGTACCAACCCGCAACATTTCCAGTGCTATGTCAGCAGGTACTTCCTCCGTCGTATCAAGTGGGCTATGATGTTATGCTGGATGCGTCTCCGTTTTCACGTATCACCCAAGCGTAATCTGCACATCCTCTGAGGCAACCCTTGCCCACGCAGTCTCCCAGACTCGCCCCAATGCCTTGCGGTATGCCATGCCGTCTCTCCACTCAACCCACAGGACGTTAACAAACTCGTACTTCCCCCTGTGCCGCGCGAACTCAGCTTCCTCCCACCCGTCAAAGCCAACGTCTTCTCTTGGTTGGTTCTCGGCGGATCCCGCCGAGATTTCAACCAGTCCGCACGCCTCGCCAACTGCTCCTCCGTAATACTCACCGGGATCCGAGGAGGCAGCGTTAAGTCTCAGCACGCCAGCCCAACGACCATTCGAGTCACACAGGGTCGCGCATATGCACTGCGAAGTGCCATGATCGTGGAATAGTTTGCGAATTTGGAGGGTTCCCCGTCGGGTGAGACCATGCAGGTAAGCGGGCGGGCATGACGGAGGACTATCGTTGATGCTGGCCATTGTGGCTAGAGGGATAGGAAACCAGAATTTCTGTGCTCCCGCTTGAGGATGAGTGAAGTATGGCTTCTGGGCCTGTTCGCAATACTTCTCGCACCACCCTTTTGATACCGGATCGTCTGATAACTCGGCAGTCGCATCCCGTACCGGGAGTCGTTCCCCATTCAGAGTCAACGAGTACGACCACACGACCGTCCGCCGAGTCTGCCAAGAATTAGGCCGCCAAAAGTTGTCCGAATCGTCGGGGTTTCCGTCGCGCAGATATTGATAACCGCTGCGCCAGCTTTCGGACTGGAGATTACCCTGCCACCCCATCCACGACCAACTCGGTAGAGCGGAGGAGAGATGGCTGGTGCGACGGACTAAAGGGTCGTAAGGCTGCCATAGCAGCGCGGCGTCGAAGAAGATGCGAGGCAGGCCACAGATGAAATCGCCGGGAAATGATTGGCCAAATGCGGATAGGACTCCGGTAAAAGCATCGTGGACGTCGTGGTCATATGTTAGGACTCGCTTATTATACAGCGCGGCCAGCCTGGCGTACCGGTGGAAGTCAGGCCACGGGGAGACGCCAGGTAAAAGTTGAGTTGATGATGGGGCAGAGACGCTGTTGTCGTTCCCGTTCTCGGTGTTGTCGTCACTGCTATTGTTCTTTCTCATGCTGTCGTCGACGCTGTGTTGTTCCTCTTCCTCAACACCACTACAAGGCCCCGTCACTATGTATTTTTGATTCTCATGCCAGGACGCGCAATGACACTGCCAGTTGACAGTATCGTTGTGAAACACAAGTTGTCGTCGAGAAAACATGAGCTCTTGGAACGTCCAGCCCCTCTGACACCACGCCGTGTTGATCAAGTCCCGAGAATGCCCCTCCATGATAGCGCGATGCGTATCCACCTCTTGTTGACGGCGAACGATCGGCGCCTCTATGGCGGAGAAAGTATCAGGCACGTCAGGCGGAGCATCTGTGTCCCCATTCGGGATAGCTGGTGGTTCGTTGACAGGGGATGGAGGCGAGTTCCATTCGTTTACCACAGGTGACTCGACTTCAGTGTATGAGGGCGATGCAGAAAGGAAATTAGGTGACTCGATATCCATGGGGGAAGGTGAATCGTAGGGTGAGCCGCACCCTATGTAGTGAGGTGAGCCGCCGTATCCCATAGTGAAAGGTGAGAATGGCTTGTTGACTGGCATACAGTCAATATAAGCATCAGCTTGCTGATTTTGATCCGACTGGTATCCATAGTACAAGGGGGAGCCGTAGTAATCATCCTCTGGAGAAACTACTCTTCGGGAAGAACGCGGCGGCCCCTCCCTAGACTCTCGCAGACGTTGCGCCCACTCCTCGGGGGAGACCTCCTTCAGACAAGGCAGCACGCCTTGGCCGCTTTCGGCCTCCTCTTCCTCGGCCTCATCGACCAGCCCATGATGCAAAGGCTCATCCGCGCCGCGCCCCTGCGCAGCAACAATAGTCAAGGTGGCTCCGGCGTAAATGTCCGCCATACCCCGCAGCTGCGCAGGCTTTGCATCTTCGTCATCTTGCACAATACAGAGCCTATCGACCCAGAGATACCGCTCACCAAGAAGCCGCGTCAGCTCCATAGCCTCCCGTATCGTAGCCGGAATATCCTGGCCACCAAGGGCTCCGGGGTTCTGCAAGGCGGCGATGTTGGCAAGCGTCGCGGTCGCGCTTAAGGCCTGGCCCCAGACATAACTCAGCGCCACGTAGTGATACAGCTTAGCGGAAGAGTTCTCCTCTTCGCGGCCATCTTTTACGGCGACTAGGCAATACGTCCGACGTCAATCAGCCACAGCGGACGCGCAGCACCCGGCCGCGGGGGAGGGCAACAGTGATTGCCATGGGAGCTGGCGCAGGTGCGCAGCCAGAAGGCCATTGTAGACAGGCGCAAGGCATGCCTTCCGGCCGGAATACGTGCTTCGATGGCGTGGGATGTATCCGGGCGGCTGAGGTACGGCAAGAATGGGATCAGATGCTTGGGCAGGCGACAGAGAGGCGATGGCTGGTCATCTGGGACGCGGAGCGAAAGCGACATGCGCCGCACGCGTCCGCGCCCTGCGGACGACTCGACGCGATTCATACGAAGGTGTGCGCGATTGAAAGCGCCGAGATGATGGACGACCAGTGGCCGCCATCGTGGCCGGTGTCAGCTTTGGCGGGGGTTGTAGTCGTTGTGGAGCAGTCAGATTATGGGGCGGCTGAGAGGTTCCATCCGGCCTCGGCACCCGGCCGAGGTCGGGATTTATGGGGCATTTCGGGTGGTCCCACCCCGCGGGATGCGCGGCCTTGGAGTCTGCGAGCGGCGCACTGATCGGACGAGCGTAGTCCAAATTCAAAAGGCTCGGCCCCGTCCACCAAGCTTTCTCCCCACACGATAGTACTGAAGAATGACTGCTGGTCCGTTCGGTGTCCGAACGCGATACCGAAACCTCTACGAATACGGCGTGCGGGACGCAGTACGGACATGGTCATGGCAAAATAAGGCATCAAAAGACCATCATTAGTTGTCGAAGTTCGGTTTAAGTTTCACTGACGTGATTGATGCCGTGGATATGCTAATGTCGTACCAGTTCTTGAGGTATAGCACTGATCTTGTTCGTCCGCTTCGGTGGAAGAAAATGGAGCACAAATACAGCACATCCATCTCGTAAAAGACAGCTTACATCCTAAAGTACATCAAAGAAGGACTTCCAAGTTCACAAAGCCACTTCATGTCACCCCCTCCAATCATCCATCTCCAACCAAAACTTCCCATCATCTAAGTCTCCATCAGTCTATACCCTCATCCCCTCCTCAAAAAAACCGCAATAATGTCCCCCAATACCAACAAATACACCTCCAAACTCGCCAACAAACGCATCCTAATCATTGGAGGCTCCTCAGGCCTGGGCTACGCAGCAGCAGAAGCATCCCTCGAACACGCCGCGACCGTACACCTAGCCTCCTCCAACCCCTCCAAACTCGCCGCCGCCGAAGCCCGCCTACGCTCAACCTACCCCTCCACTCAAGACGACCAACTCAAAACCCACACAATCAACCTCGCAGACCTCGAAAACCTGCACATCAACCTCACACGCCTCCTCGACGAAGCAACATCGAATGGCAGCCTCAAAATAGACCACATCCTCTACACCGCAGACGCAGCTTCTCCCCTTCCCTCCCTCCCGGACACGCAACCCTCCCACATCACAGCGTCCCTCTCCATGAGAGCCTACGCACCTACAATACTCGCTGGCCTCCTCTCTTCGGAGAAATACATCGCCCACGGACCAGATACCTCGCTTACCCTCACAAACGGCTCCAGCTCCCACCGGCCCATGCCAGGTTGGGCCGTCGCCGACTGTGCCGCCGGCGCGATGGAGGGTCTCGTCAGGGGTCTGTCCTTTAACCTCGCCCCAGTGCGTGTGAACCTCGTCTCTTCGGGCCCCGTCACGACGGAACTGTTCCTGGCGCTTCCTGGGGAGGCTATCGAGGGGTTCCGAAGCAAGACGCTGACGGGAAGGCTTGGGCGGCCTGAGGATGTGGCGGAGGCGTATTTGTATTTGATGAAGGATGGGAACATTACTGGCGCAACCATCTTTACTGAGGGAGGAAGGATCTTGTCATCGTAGGTAGAAGGCGTTCTATTACGGCCTGTCTCGTTTATGGCGGTTTCAGTGCCACTCTCTTCGCAAGAATAATCTCAAACACACAATAGAACTTTTCCATGGCTGGCGGGTCATTTGCAAGTCCCTAGTAATATACATTTTCCCCTCTTTTCAAAACTCCAGGTTGGGAGCAAACGCTCTTATGCAATACTCAAGACGATGTTGTTTACGCTGAAGCTTTTCAACTTCTATCATGCAGGATACAGCCACCTCGCTGGTGAAAGGCAACCCGAGTATCAACCCCATAGACGCCTCTGATCTGCATCTACATCCGCGTCCACTGCAGCCTGTCTCACTAAGCTTGAGAAACTCTGTACCATGCTCGAGGGGACATCGCTGTCAGTGATGTCGTCAGACGGGCTGTCACTATCAAAAGACCCCAAGGAGTCCTCCCATCCCAAGGATTCATCGCATGTCTCGTATTGCTCGGGGCAATCTGCGGCAGCGTATGCATCGAGAAACGGATCAGGCCAGGCCCGTAATTGGTCAGAGTGTCTCCTGTTGTTTCCTTCGCGCTAGGGGATGCAAAAGTCGACCCAGCTGCCAAGGTAGTCTAGACGGTTACCGGCGTTCTCCTGGCTCTTGTAGATTTCCTCAAACTCATCAAAGCTGAGCTTGCCCCAGCCGCCGCGATCGGCAGCTTCCTTCTCAGCTAGATCGAGCCGTTTCCATTCCAGCAGCGTAGAATGCGGAATGGTTTTCGACTCCTTGGAAGACTTTGATGTTTTTCCCTGCACGGGCGACTTCAGTCCCTTGGTCGACAACGAAGAGTCGTCCGAAGTGGGCGGGGTGCTTCCTGGGGACATAGGCTCATCCGCCTCGCTGTTCGGACGGAACTGAGGCATAGTAGGGTCCCGGTACTCGACTTCCTCCACGGTAGAGACATCTTCCTCGTCGTCTTCATTCACTTCAACATCATCCTCGTCAGAGTCAATGACTTCTTCCACTCTCTGACGCTCTTCTGAGATGGGAACGTTCTCCGTTTCACCATTCTCCCCGATTCTGTAGCCGCTAGTCATCAGAAGTTCTTCCAGAGTTCTTTCGGCAACGGGCTTGTCTTGGTCGAGTGCCTTTCTCGGCTGCCGCGGCTCGACCACCTTGCGCTTCGGCTCAGCGACAGTCAGTTGCTCGAACAGAGGCCTGTTCTTATCTCGCTTTGCCTTGGTTGCAGCTGCCTTGACGGCCAAGTTCTCTTTGTCCTTGAATATAGCGTCGAGGAGCTCGTTGAAGGCCTGCTGCGTGACCTGATATAGGATCTCCCTGCCTGCGTCGCGTTCCTCATCAGGAATCTCCATGCCTCCCCAACGCTCGGGCACGCTTCTAGAGGATGTCGAGGGATTGGATCTGATCTCGTAGTCATCCATGTCTTCTGCAAAGCGAACCTTTGACGATGATCGAGAGCGAGGCGGTAATGCCTGCTGTTGCGCGGCCTTTGAGCTTTCCGCGACGCCATTGAGATTCACCAAGACATCTTCATCGGATTGCCAGCCATCGGGAGCAAGGCCGCCCTCTTCCTCATCAAGGTAGAACTGTCTTCTCTTCCATCTGTCGTGCAGCTGTTTTCTAGCAGCTTGCCGCCTTTTCCACTCGATATCGGGAGCCATCTGCCTCTTATGGTTGATAACCTGTGCTCTTAGCTGGCTCTCAGTAGGCATTGCGTTGGTGAACTGATCGGGATCAACTCTCTGGCTGTGATTTGTGGTGCCGTTGACTTGTGCCGGATCGTCGCCTGGTTGACTCCTATTCTCCGCATCCGAATTATTGTTACCTCCTTCCTCACCATCTGAGCTGCCCAGCTCAATCTCAAAGTCAAAATCAATGCCATTGCGTTCCCGACGTTGCCCAGTAAGCAAGGCAGGCAGGTCGTCAATGGTAGTAGGCGGGTTTAGTAAAGCATCCCAGTATGGCGTGTCAGGCTCGCTGTCAGGAGATCGCATTTGGAGAGACCAGGGACTTCCGATGTAAGGCGCGAACAGTCGAGTAAGGACATCCTCTCGTCCCGAGGTATCGACCCTATTGTCACTCACGACACCACGCCTACCAGGTTCCAGTTCCACATCTCCGTTTGGGTGGAAGATCTTGCCCTCACTGCGGTTGTTGCCATCAGCGCGAGGCACTCTACCCTCTCGGCCAAACAGGCTACTCAGCGGCTGTCTACTAGTGACGAGCTGCTGTGCTTCGGTGCTACCCATCAGCTGATCGTCGAGTCCGTCGAGAATATCGCGGTGCATCTGCTTGTAGAGGACGTAGTATGCGCGGAACATACGCAGGAAGTCGCGGCGGTTGACAAAACCGTCTCCGTCTATATCATAGCCTTCGAAGATCTTGCGCAGCTTGTCCTTGCGTTTGCGGTATGCAAGGCCGTGGAGAAACTCTGTGAAGCCGATAAGGTCGTCATTGTTGGTGTCATAGAAAGAAAACATGCGGTCGTGAATGAGGTTTGGCGTTGCGTGTCTAGAGCCGCCCGATGGAACCAGGCATCGCTCAAAGGTCTTCTTGTCCATGGCCAGCGCCAGCTCGTCGGGGTCCTCGCGCCATTCCGTGTTCGCCATGTACGTAAACTGTTCCCAGAAAGCTTCAATCTCGGGTCTTTCAAAGCCGGTTTCCCTGCTCAGTCTGGCCATCAACCCTTTGGATAGATTTCGTATCTGTGTATCAGGGTCACCGGTGTACCAAACGGGCTGCATCTGGCGGGGTCCAAAAGGCGGGGCGGGCACTTTGATCTTGTAAAAGATGTGAGTTTTGATGTGGACGCCTTGGGATTCGCAGGTTTCGCAGAGATCAAAGTCGGCACAATTGGCGCATCGGTATCGGACACCGCGGATGGGTACCATGCCGCAGGCGTTGCATGCACATCCCCTATGGACGCACGCGTTTCTCCTAGCGTTATCCTCGGACACCCTAAACAGAAGACTGACGATGTTGTGACCAGCTCGCGCCTGGGGTTGCATGCTATTAGGGTCGTTCCACCATTCGTCGACGGTTCCGCCGTCAACTATCGTTTCGGTATCGTTCGCTGGGCGGGCATCGAGATCAACGTTTTCGTCGCCATGGGAGCCTTCGGAGGAGAGTGAATCGCGACGCGATCGTCTGTGGTTCCGGCGAACGGCGTTGCTTCGGTGAAGACCGGGGCCTTGGATCTCATCGTACTGGTCTCTGTTGGCCTGGTACGTGTAGTAGCCCAGAGACGCCGCGGCGACAGCAGAGAAGAGGACCACGGCGATGCGTGGCCGCGTCAGGGTGTCGGTTGATGGCAACGGGAGCCACATGATGGTGCCTAGACGTAGCTATACGTGAAGCATGTTGAGGGTTATTGTAGGCTTCGCATTCGCGTATTCGAATGCTTGAAGATCTAGAGAGACAAATGTTTGGTGATGCTGATTGCTCTGGATGATGCTAGCTGATGAGAGGTGTCGTTGATGATCGTCCAGCAAACGAAACGGCCAGCAGCAGTGTGCAGGGTAAGCAGCGTCGCAGTTGCGCCAGCTATCGGTTCTGCCGCTTTGGCCCACGTTAGCAAAGAAGGCGGTCAACCACATGGCAGATGTCCCTTGGCGCCTCCATCAGTCAGCAAGTGGCTCGAGCTCCCGTCCTCTTCCATGGGGGTGGCGGTACGTATCCCCGGAATACCACCACGGATGGCTCTCCGGAAAGTCAAAAACTCATGTCGTCTTTCAATGGGTACGCCATCTTCAACATCTTCAACTACTTTGGGACTATTACAAAAACTTATCAGTACAGATGAAATGAAGGACTAACTCTCACACATAGCAACTCGAAATATCCCAGCTCCGTCTGATGTCCTCATACCCGGGGATCATCAACTTGAAGGAACCAACAACATGCAACGTCCTTGTCAATGTTGGAGGTCTGCCTGCGGTGACTGAGAGCTCCCCGATGCCGAGGCATAGTCCAAGTGGAACCCCCATGTCGCACGATTCTATGTTACCAGAGTACTTCCATATCGTCAACAATCAACGAGATAATGCGGTACTTCCATAACCGTCGCCCTCGATAGACAACGTCACCAGCCGCCCGTTGCGTACCGTATTACGCTTGACGCAATCCCATGATCGCATTTAGTCTCTTGAGAGCCCGCATGTTCTGCAGTTCTGCAATTTAGACAGGCTGATCCGATTGCACAGTTTCCCCCCTCCATAAGGACGCTAAAGCTGCAAGTGGTTATTCAGAAACGCTTGCTTCTTTCGTCGCATCTTCCCAGGGCGCAGGGGTCTTTCGAGAAACGAGCTTCCCTCTCTCTCACTCTTCAGCTCATAGCTCATAGCTCCCATGCGCAGCCCCCCCTTGAGTTCAATCCAAACTCATCTGTAACATCCTTTAAAGCCACTTATCCGGGATTCTCCAAATATTCCCAGATTTCTTCGTCCCGAACACGAACAGTAATTAGTATAACCACGTTGAATCCACGTGGAGGATCATCCTAAGATCTCCGGGTCTCTCAACTTTACATCTATAATCCCTTGGAGAAACTCAGCCATGGCGACGAAGTAAGCTTTAGCCACTGGTATAAGCATCGGCCATGGATACTGACGATGTCGCCAGAGTACCAGTCTTCCCGACGGCGGAAGAAACAATGAGACATCCCTCATATCCCTCAACGATATGGAACCTCGAACCCGATCGCAAGGGAAAATGTCCCGTCGCCAAGGACCGAGGCGGCCCTTTCAACATTGCCTGGGAAATCCACGGCCACGGCTCCTCAAAGATTATCGTACGCACCCTTTCAACCACTACAATGATTCCATTCCTCTCAGTACCTTGGAACTAACACAAACACCAAAAGTTCATAATGGGCCTAGCCGGCCTCAAAACCTCATGGCAGCGCCAAACAAAATACTTCGGCCACGACAACGCCTCCAAATACTCCGTCCTCATCCTCGACAACCGCGGCATGGGCGAATCAGACGTCCCCTACATGCGCTACTCCACCTCCGAAATGGCCC